CAGTGTGTTTGGCGACATATCCAAGACAATGGATTGTCCAAGAAATACCAGGAAGATGAATACTTCCGCTTGAATGTCAGGAAGTTGCTTTCTTTACCTTTCGTTCCAACTGACAACGTTGCTGAAGCATTTGATATTGTTGCTGATGATTTCGAAGACGATGCGGATAACATCGTTGAATACTTTGAAAAAACTTGGATCGGACAAAGGAAAAAACGAGGTGAGTATTTTTTTCTAAATATGCTTTATTCAGTATTTACTTTCATAGGAACTGGCAGAAAGAAGCCAATATTTAATTATGAGCTATGGAATGTATACGAACGTGTCATTAACAACCTTCCTCGATCTAACAATTCAGTCGAAGCGTGGCATTGCGCATTCGCTAATCGTGTATCGATGGCTCATCCTTCAACTGCAAAACTTGCTGATAAAATTCGTCGAGAGCAGTCAAAGTTTGAAATTGATATTCAACAAATGCTTCAAGGGCATCAACCACAACTCAAAAAATTAGTTTATCGAAAACTTAATGAAAGAATGATACGTGTAGTTAATATGTACAATAAAAATGAACTTAACCAATATTTAAACAATATTAGTGCCAATATAATAATTTGAATTTTTTTTGTCAATTTTTTTGTTGTAGATATAGTATTAATATTATTTTCTCTGTTCTTCAATTCTAAATAATAAATAAATTTAAAAAAATGAATTGTAAAATAAAACTAAAATAGCTATTAATCTAGAGATTTAAGCATCAATCGTATTTCCAAAGATTAACTAGGAATTTTTTCTAATTCTTTGAATACCTCATATTGAGTAGCACTTCATTTTTGATAAATAGATATATTGCAACGATTTGTCCATGTAACGATTGGTCCATGCAACGATTTATCCTTGCAACGATTTGTCCATGCAACGATTTGTCCATGCAACGACTTGTCCGTAACGATTTGTCTGCGACATTATGTCCGCGACATTTTGTCCGCGACGTTTTGTCCTGCAACGATTTGTCCTGCAACGATTTGTCCATGCGACGATTTGTCCGCGACGATTGGTCCGCGACGATTTGTCTTGCGACAATCTGTCCTAGCGCCGTTCTTTCATAAAAGTAGGACTATCAGTATGAATCTTCATGTTCAAAAATTTGCGATTTTTTCGTACATAATTATATGCACGATTCACATCTGAGTCTTTGTCAAGTTGAGCTTCAACATATAATGATGCCTGATCCTTCACACATCTGTGTACCAAGTTCAGTACACCATTACTTAAATGCAGACATCGAGTTGATCTTTCAACTTCTGAAATAGATTGATATTGAAGATTTGAATAGAATTTTAATCACGAACCTTCTAGATTTTCTAGGTTATTATCATAATACGACATAGTTATATTGATAAGTTGTATTAATAAGGACTATATTACAAAAAGATCTGCAATAAAAATTTATTTGTCCAGTATAAAGCAAATTTAAAGATAGTAATCCTATTTCATGTGGATTTCATGTACAGAAATATTTATTGAGTTGCGTTATGAATCACCATTGAAAGAAATAATTTCTATTAGCAATACAAAATAGCCAATTTGATTTTTCACATTAATGAATTCCATGTGCCTCCATGATGGCGTCTACATTTTCCCTTAACTCGTGCCCACAATCCTTCCTTCTTTCTTTCTTCCACCAAAAAAGCACGTAATAATGAAGAACAAACAGAATCAAATGTGATTATTTCATCGTCATTATCAATATCAACTGAATCTGAAAATCCGGTTTTTTCTCTTTCTGTCTCTTCATGTTGTGGTGATCAAACTACGTGTGATCTTGTTTCTGATACTTCGTCATCTTCTCTCGCAACCTCGGTTTCTTTGAATGAAAGTTTTGAAGCGAAATCTGGTCTAAATGATATTAGTACGTCATGTATTGATCCTCCTGTTCAACCAAAATTAGCAACCTATCCGTTGAATCATCGAAAATGTTCATTTCAATCTAGCTGGTACATTGATAGACAGTGGTTGGAGAATTCTATTCAAAAAGATGCATGCTATTGTTATTACTCCCAAAACACTCGATCTTGCTTCCGGATCCTGCCGAAACCCATCGGAACCAGCACCAGATCACTCTAGAAGCCGGCATGTTTCCCATTCAAATCCGCCAGGAGCCGGCAGGGATTTCGCCGGAATCTCTGCTCCTGGAAACCCCGCCGGAATTCAGAGGGAAATGGTCCGGTCGTTTCCTGCCGGATAATACAACCAAACATTGTCGCAACCGATCCACCCGGACTACCGGATGATCCCAGTTTCACAACGGCTTCACCACATATTTGGCCGGATTCCATCCAATTCCGACGACAAGAACCTCATAAAAAATCTTTCATACTAGCGTTCTTTAATCAAAAGATGAATCAACTGTAGTCTTCAGAAACACGAACACCAACCGAAACGAATACGCCAGATCAATAATCACAACATAATCCAAACCCTCACCGCTCAAACGGGTCCACAACAAACATTTCTGTCAACAGCAATCACCTTAAATAATTGTAACCCGAAAACAACAACATCTGACTCACCAATGTCCACACTTAGAATAATCCAAAATCAACCTACTATACATCGTATTCATTAAACACAATACCAACCCGTTTACTGCGCCATCTTCTTGCATTTCACTTCTTGAAAACATCGCCCTGACATCATTTTGCACCTATCGAAATCATTGATAATTCATAGAAAATGCATCTGAATGTCATTCTGGAACATCACCACTAACGTTTTCATCAATTAATATCATTCTGAACATCATTAAAGAATAATAATTGGGCACGTTAATTAAGCCAAAATCCCTCCACGGATCATTTTGCACCAATCAAAAGATTGTAACAGTCGTACAGAATCGTTCAGATAAACTTTCTCGATGGTTCCAACTTATCTTTTCGTCCGGAAACAGGATTCTAAGCATCTGTTCATTACGGATCCAACCACACTTACCTTTGGGAAAAATCGGTCCGCGGCTCACCTTTGACCAATGGAGTAGGTCACTAAGTATTGAAGAATCGTTCTGATTATCATTTTAGACTGTTGCTAGGTACGTGTTTCTTGATTAATCTGATTCTGAGTGACATTCGAAGCCGAAATCGTGTTATAGGACCTAATTTATATTTTTTGTAATCAATATCCTAGCATCCCCAAGAGGGTTTGTTGGTAATTCGAAATGATGCTTTCGGTGTCACCAGACCGGGCAAACACGTTTGCTCGGCCTTTTAAAAGATGTCGAGTCGTATCGACGAGTAACATAGTATGGATATATAACAAGTTTATCTCGCCCTGGGTAATCCTGAATGGCTCTGGATTTCGCGTTAGACCAGAAGATGGTCATCGAATCAAGTTATATTGGTAGGAGATATGATGAACGACTTGAGTGAACATCATTCGGGGCGATAACTTCGCTCAGGATAAATAAATACGTGACCATTCTGCTAGTTTTTATTATTTTTTCATAAAAATTGTATTGGATCGACTATAATTTTCAATTCATGGGTATCACCGTTTGTGTGAGTTGTTAAGTAATAGTTTGACTGAATCGCAAGGTGCTCCTTTAGTATTCGTTAATTACATACAGGCGGTTTCGATTGGATCTGTGCTGTAGAAAGTGGCTTAATCCGGTTAGTAGGACCGTTCCGTTCTGATATGATCCGATTGGTTCCGGTGATACTGATTAAGCCGGATCTACCATGAAATCGAGCGTCATGCGGCACGGCGGATTCCGGTAAAGTTTCGTTACTGGATATTGTCGGATCACGTCGTATACGGCCCAATCGTATCATCTAGCATGATATTTTCCGGCAATGTAAATCTGGTCGGTTCTCGGAGTATCCGGCAACCAAATTTCATAAGAAAACAAGGAAAATCATCGGAATTCACCAGAAATTAACCGACCGAATCCGGTCATCGTGTGACATCGGAATTATAACCCGTCCGACAAGAACCGACTGATCGATAATGACCTGGGCTGTCGTCATTTTTCTGCTAATAAACCATTTGCTAGTGATTCTTTTTCCACTTCCGGTTTTGACACTTTGAGAGTTAAGGGGCTGCGCCTCCCCAGATAGAAATTCCTGGCGCCGCCTCTACCGATTTCGAACGCTTGAGCTTGAGCGTCTTAAAATTTTCTGGTTGGACTATTTCCACCAGTGTATATAGGCGTCTTAGAAGTATCTTTTTAGACGCTTCTATCAATCTATGGTTCACTAATTCAAGAATTCATATTTTTATACGAACATTAGATATTAGAAAAAAAAATTTTCAATGAAATAATTTGTTTACACTTTCTTGAGTTAAAATTATATTTAAAAATTACAGAAATCATTTTAAATTTTTTTTATATATATTTTTTGATGTTTAATGGAATTCCTCGAAGGTGATATTCTTGTGGAATAAAATATTATCTTCGAAAATATTTTATTTGAGTAAATCTGATTTTTGAGGAATTCCATTAAACATCAAAAAATATATATAAAATAATTTTAAAATAATTTCTGTAGTTTTTAAATATAATTTTAACTCCAGTAAAGTGTAAACAAATTATTTCATTGAGAATATTTTTTCTAATAACTAATGTTCATATAAAAACATGAATTCTTGAATTAGTGAACCATAGATTGATAGAAGCGTCTGGGAAAACTCATGCAACACTTAAGTCTAAAACGAAAAAAAAAGTCTTAAGTATTTTTTTAAATATACAATATTAAAATATAGCTGTAATCAGTTAGTTTTGATAATTTTTCTATCATCTAGAAAACAAATAAAAACCTTGAAAATATGTTAAAAATAAATAAAAAAAGAAATTTCGGTAAAATGGTTTGCATATTTTTAGAGCTCCTTCGCTTCAGATATCGAATCAAGAGATACGGATCTCTTCAAAACCACGAATATCCTCAATTCGAGTTAAAATGTGAAGCAGTTCACGGCAGAAAAGTCATCGGAAAAACTAGCTCTGGAAAGAGTGAAATCCTAAATATTTTCAAGAAATCGAATAAAACTCTTTGTTTCACATCCGAAAGTAAATTCTCATAGCTACGAAAGAAAGTAAAAAATTGATTTATTGGTCAATAGCTATAACAATGTTTTACGAGAAAGAGGAACATAAGACACTCTCCTGTCTAGACACTACATGTCTGAAAACAAGACGTATTTCGCATCTGAATAAGACTTAAGACGGATAACATGTCTCGTTAGACACATGGTATTTTTTAGAGTGTATACATAGATTTACTTTTTTTTCCATCACATTAACATGAACAACTCTGGGTCATGTGAATACGTTAAGAGGAGCTCTTAAGAAATGTATGCAGAATTAATTGATTTAAAGCTAGCTTAAATCAATATCTCACTTTGTCGGGAAGTATCCGCTCCAGAACATGGCGGACTACGACAATTCTTAACATATTCATAAAGTAGCTTACGGTTCAAACAAAAAACTATTAGTGCACCATAGAAAGTAACTTTTCACGCTCTGCACTAAATTCTTCACTGTATTTGAATAAAAATATCCACAACATTTATAAGCCCATCTTCAAAAAAGCGCAAAACTTCAGCCATAGAATAACTTTCGACTCGTCTGAAATGCACTCTCGTTAAATGTAATGAACAAAATATTATCTGAAAATCTTCCAATCATTAGTTATGTGTTGGAAGGATAGATTATAACCTGTAGAACCTGATAGGGAATTATAATTACAGTATTTTATTCTCTTCCGAAACAGCTACGAGCTTCACACAATAATTAAAGCATTCAAATATTCAATTGCAAAGACTTGTACATCTTTTTATAAAAAGATTCATCTCTCAAAAATTTGGCTAGAGGGCTCCGAAGCTTCTAGGGGGGCTTACACCCCTGGCTCCGCCACTGGTGTCCACTATGGAAGGTTCTACTGTATTTTAATCTAAAATAGATAAAATGACAGCGGATATTATCTATTTTTTTCAAAAATCTAAACGTTAAAAGAAAAAGTATACAAAGGAGATGCCAATGAAATACATACCCAAAGCATTGCCTTATTTAAAATCATTGCTTTTCAATTCTAAGTGGACTGCACATATGTGCATATACATACAGACACTAAAAGTCTTTAATGCGATGCGAAGCACTGCATCTATGCAGTCCACCACGATTTTCTTTTTATCTGGTATACGTAATGCGGCTGATCATTTTATGATATGATTAACTCGAGAACCGAGTTGCACAGAAAAATCGTTCAAACTAGAGGTGTAAGTATCGAGATGGAACTCCCGACATATTTTTGACAATCCTAAATCTAACGTTTTGTTCGCTTACAAAAATCATTCCAAAATGGCCATTTTGAAAGTAATTTGTGATTTTCGAACTTCAAGATAATTAAAATGACTTCATCAACATATGCTAGCCACAAGTTTATTCAGTCTATGCGCTTACAGATAATCTGAGATAGTTAATCGTTCAATATCAATAACGTTTTCAGAAAACATGTTGATACAGTTTGAGAGACTTCTCATAGTGATGAATTTCTCAGTGGCTACTTTTCAAATATTTGAAATTTCTATCAACTGTTCAATTGAAATTATTTTTCAAAATTCATAGACACGAAGGAGAGGATAGCAATCAAGCTATTTGAAAGTTTTGATGAAATCAACGGTTCTACTCAATTTTACTAGATCAATCGTTTTCTTATCATAATTGCTTTTTAATCCATGCGATGTTCGTAAATATGGTATAAGATTATAGGATTAAAATTTATTTGAGAATTTTCAAATTTTAACTGTAGTATACTCATCTAGTGAACTGATCTCCTTTTCTATACAGATTGTTTATTGGTATTGATAAATATGGAATATTTATAAACAAATTTTATTTAATTCACAAATTTATATAATTTTTTTCTCATCGACGGTACATAACGTTTTTCATCAAATCGACTGACATATGATGGATGCTGTCGTCGTCGCTGTTGCCTTTCAATCTTACATTGTTCTTGTTGACGTCTTTTGAATTCTTCCAACTTTTTTTCTTCATCAGCTTGTGCTGCTTGAGCCTGTTGAAATTGTTTTCGATCAAAAAAATGATTTTGCTTACGTACATATTCTCGACAATCTAACATAGAATTCAATTCTGAAATCAATTCTTCATCAAGATTTATTTCATCAGAAAATATATTTGTTGTTGTTGTTATACGTGTAGTTCTATTGAAAATAGACGGAAATAATTTTTCATCATTAAAATCAAGTTTTGGAATATGACGACGACTTTTTCGATGTAGACGGCTCGAATACATTGATCGCAGTCTATCATCGTCTATAAATAGACTATTAACATCATTAGGGAATATTTCTCGATCACACATGAGAATAAGATCATTATTACACAACCATCCAGTATGCTCATCATGTTGTATCTCAATATATGACATTGAAGAAGAGAATAAATTGTTGTCATGGAAAAATAAAATCTTCTCAAATTGTCTTATGATATTTTCGTTTCCATTGTTTTAATTTTAAAATATACATTAGCTTAAATAAAAGTATACAAGTGAGTTAAAATATAAACAGAGAAGACTAATGAATACTATAGCTTTGATACAATGTACAATGAAAAATCTCGATGCTAAGGAACTGCCATTACTGTAGATAACATTTAGGGTAATCTAAGAATTTTCACATTAAAATTATTGATTTTGAATGTACCCAAACTAGCAACATTAGCATTATAATATCTTATAGACAGTTTAAGAAATTTCTATTTCAAATTTATCAATTTTTCAAATAGTACTCTATAGTGCTAAAATAATCTCATGCTTGTTCGAATCATATCATAATATCTAAAACAATGAAGAAAATAGTGATTGCTTAACAACTGTATGCATTTGACTTATACTCACTCCCTTATGAACGTCAGCAATCAACTCCGGAAAAACATCAGAAAGAGTAATTTGAATGTTTGATAGAATAAAAACTTGACAAAATTCTATCTATATTTTATTTTAACTGATCCATTCTTAGTTTTTCTATTTTTTCAATGTGGCGAATTCATCGGAAGAAGAATATGATTCAATACTATTTAGTCAATTAGTATAAATGGAGACAAATCTTTGCAACCTTTGTATATGATGTAATAATGGCGACATTACTACTTTTGATATATTCTGTGTATTTTTTCAATGATTTATTATTACTACTATGCTTCAAAAAGAATGAATTAAGTCTTCTTGATTAGGAACAATTATTGTTGGGTGCATAGATACAAACTGTGTAGTAAGATAATCATAAAATTCAAGACGACTCGCTTGATCATTTAAAAATATTGACTATTAAGACAGAAAATAATATTTTTTTGAGTTCTGTTTAAGAAAGAAATTTTTATTTTGACTAATATTAGTGTATTGTACTGATATTCATTCAGTTCCGATGATAAGTTTCTGATCTAACAGTGACACTTGTTCAGAAATATGAGCAATAGATACAAAAAAGCTGTTGTTCCTCCATTTATATGTACAATAATCCTTCGCAGTGAAACCTACAATGATGTTCCATATTAAAAACAGAATTCAATGAGTATCGAATAAAGTCTATCTGTAGCACTGTTTCTTATAAAGAATATATTTCGATTGCTTGTCCCACAATCTTTTTTTTATCATGAAATCATCGAATCATATACAGTAAGATAATGCGAAGCTTATGAATCATAGTATTAGCAAACTGTAATCAATATTTATTTCCATAATAACTCATACACATATACAAAATGTCATTAGAATATCTCTCCGGTTTTACTTTATCAAACAAATTCATCTTCATTAATAATTTCTATTAATAACATAGTACGTGCACTGTAATATGTTTTTCAACATGAATTTCATCATCAAAGATGAGCGCATCTCGATTTCGAAGTCAACATGATAAGTCATTCATAGATGATCAAACGTCACTAACTAGGAATCGAAAAGATTTGGAACTATGCAATGTCTTTTCAACGACAAATATCGCCCTCTATTATTTATTTGATAGTAGAAAGCGAGAAAATAAAGAATTCTTGTGAAGTTTTATTTCATATCGATCATTGATTACTAGTCTAGATAAATTTGTTAATGAATGCTCATTTATTTGTTATGTTTTATCAGATAGATTTTTACACTGCAGATTATTGTCGATACTAAAATAAAATCGAATGGAGACCAATCAAATAATATTTAATCATAAAGGTCTTTCTTGTTTTTATTTTTATTTTCGAATTGCCAATCGAAGAAAAACAAAGGCGTGTTCTCTCGTACTTTTTTCTTATCGAGAAAGTAACAGAACTGAAATTCTATTTTGTTTGTACAAATAAACAGTAGTGTTTTAGCATACTAACGAGTCGATGTTATCGTTACCGATAGGAATATCATGCAGGAATATAGACATGTTGCTTTGACATTTTCTATGCACTATAATATGTGTGACGATATATTTCTTCTGTTAAACTGATTTTTATCCTTTAATTAAAAGAGAAAATAAAGCGATTTTCTATGTTCTTGGTACTAGTAACACTTGATCCTTGTGGGTATCAATCGAACGTTATAAATCAATAAGGAAATGTCGTAGTCACTTTATTTTCATTCATGGGAATAGAAATATTAAAATGATTATAGTACGCTTTTCAATGATCTTTCTATATTTTTTCTCCAATACAATATTTTACTGTTAAATTAGAAAAGATTAGATGGAAAGAAAAGAAAGGAAATAGCACGTGAATTACGCACATAAAAAGAGATGTGATTTTTCCTATTGTTATTTTTCTCTCTATGGAGATCACTACTACTACTGCATCTATTACTTCTTCTTCTACTACTACTACTATCACAATCAATAATATATTTTATCGGGATGGAAAAGAATCAGCATCTGATAAGTAAGTATATTAATGGTTTTTTAGTTTCACTTGTTTTGATTCTATTTATTATGAGTTCCTTCTTTTTTTTGTGTACTCAAAAAAAGTGAGTACACTAGATTCAGTCAGTGTGTCCGTCCGGCCGTTAACACGATAACTCTTGAAATTCTCATCCAATTGTCTTGAAATTTTGTACACAGAATGATCTCATCAATATCTCAGTCGAGTTTGAAGATGAGAAGGATCCGTCAAGAAATGGCTGAGTTATCGAATCGAAAAATTGCCATTATTGACTAGACCATCCCAAAGNCACGGGGGGGGGCGGTACAGGGAGTTTTTTCTCAGAGTTATTCACAACATATATAAGTCGAGCCAGTTTTTGAAGTACACATAACAATCGGATGTAAATCCGATGTTTCCGCATTTATTTTGTTTTCTTCTAAACTAAAATACTTGAAAGAGTAATTAGTTAAAAATAGAATATCCTATTAATTATTTTATGTAAAATTTCTAGATAACAACCAATCTATTCATGACAATGAAACATATTTAAGAATAAGAACAAATTCTGATTCGAGTCAGGATTCATATCAACATCAAACAAGATCAACATTTATTCCATCATTGCGTTCAAGAATGCCTAATATAAAAGTATTCGGTGGTTCATCTCATCCTGAATTGACCAAACTAATTTGTGCTCGACTTGGTTTAGAACCAGGTAGAGTTATAACAAAAAAATTTAGTAATCGAGAAACAAGGTAAAATATTTCAAAATAATGGAATCATCTTTTCTAAACTAAAATTTTTTCTTTCATCAAGCGTTGAAATTAATGAATCAGTACGTGGCGAAGATGTTTTCATTGTTCAAAGTGGCTGTGGTGAAATTAATGATAATCTAATGGAATTATTGATTATGATAAATGCATGTAAAATAGCGTCAGCTTCACGAGTTACTGCTGTAATCCCATGTTTTCCTTACGCTAGACAAGATCGTAAAGATAAAGTAACGGAAGAAAAGCTCTTTGCTTTATAAAAAAAAAAAGCATTTTTTTTGCTTTTATAACGTCTAGAGTCGTGCACCAATTTCAGCTAAGCTTGTTGCAAACATGTTGAGTGTAGCTGGTGCTGATCATATCATTACAATGGATCTACATGCTTCTCAAATACAAGTACTATATTTATTCTTAAATTCAATGGAAATATCTTTACAGTATTTAATAGGGTTTCTTTGATATTCCTGTTGATAATCTTTTTGCTGAGCCTGCTGTTATTCGATGGATATCTTTACATATTCCAGATTTTAAAAATGCTGTTATTGTGAGTCCTGATGCTGGAGGTAAAATTATTTCATCTATTTAAAGATTGAGAAAATCGGACTTTTTTTTCTTTTTTATCTAGGAGCTAAACGGTAAAACATAGTTTTTTTTTCTTTTAACATATTCAATTGAACATTATACTTCACATAGTGTGACATCGATAGCTGATCGATTAAATATTGATTTTGCACTTATTCATAAAGAACGAAAGCGTGCTAATGAAATTGATTCTATGGTACTGGTTGGTGATGTTACAAAACGTATTGCGATTTTGGTCGATGATATGGCTGGTATAGTTTTTATCTAATATAATTTGAAAATTAAACATAAAGACAATTTTGTTTTTTTTCATCATAGATACGTGTGGAACATTTGAATGTGCATCACAAAAGTAAATAGAGATTTTTTGTTAGATTTTTAAAATCTCTCATTAAAATTTTATTGCTAGATTATTAAGTGCCGGTGCATGCAAAGTTTATGCAATATGTGCACATGGAGTTTTCAGTGGCCCAGCTATATCAAGAATAAATAATTCACCATTTGAAGCTGTTGTTGTTACAAATACAATTCCGCAAGAAGAAAATATGAAAAATTCAAATAAAATTCAGGTAATTTTTATTGATAAGAATCGAACAAGGCGAAATACATCATAGTTGAATTCATTTAGCCGTAGTCGTGACGTCTTATATTTATCATAACACAACCATAGTTTCCAAGAATAAATTCTCATGCCTATGGCTTTCATTAGATAAAATAATATATACACAAATCTATAGGAAACGTTGCAAAACTTAACTAAGATAATAGAAACGATGTTATTTAAGCTAAAATTCTATTTTATCAGTAAAGAATAATTTTGGAAGTTATTCAAATAGATTTAATTTTAATTAAATATGAATAAATTTTGATATCTTCAGGTAATTGATGTATCAATGATGTTTTCGGAAGCTATTCGTCGCACACACAATGGTGAATCCGTTTCGTATCTATTCACTCAAATGCCACTCTAAAAGTACCAGTGAAAATGAAAATAAAACGATTCATTGTGATAAAAGACTGTATGTTTCTTTTTTTCCCCTTTCTATATGACGGTGACAGTCATACATATATTTGTAGTATAGGATTGTATCTCAGTTTCGTTTATGTAATCAACTTTCATTTCATATGATTATTTTCTCTTTTGTATGTTCATGAAACTATATTATTTGTATTCACCTACTAAACCATATAGAAAAATATGTTAGTAAAATGAAAGATTTGTTAATATCCACATAGTATTAAACTTTTATTAAAGTTATTGTGACTTAAATTTGCACGACAAACGTGAAAAAACTTGTAGACCAGATTATATCATCAACTCGAATAAAAAAATGCTGGTGTATAAAAAAGAAAATATTTTCAGCGCACAAATAACACATATCATTAGTTTATCTAAACCATAAACATACGTATTAGATATAAAAGAATACAAGAATCATAGTTACATTCTATCTTTACTCATAAATGTCACACACGTATCCATAAACGCACGAGAGCGAAATAATATTAATTTAAATTTGTATGCATTTGATTACGACGTATAGAGTCTTATTTACTAGTATTATTGTCAGTAGGTCGAGATCGCTTCATTTGATTCTCGTTTCGACGCGGGTCAAGGATACGGTCATGTTAACATCGAAAATAACTGATATATAAAGAAGATATGCATGCTTGACTTCCATGCAAGTTATATTCGTCGCAATAACTAGTTATCACGATGAAAAGCGATATGAGTGCTTCGTCTTCGTATGAAACACAATATTCTAATGCTTCAGCACAATCAAATGACAGTGAAGCATCTTTATCATTATCATCAAGCACCACAGTTCAATATGAACCGATTCAAGTTAGTCTTTATCGGAAACAAACTCCAACCATAGCAACTGGGCGCCGTTCGAAACACTTTATTCTAGTTGGTGTCGAAGCTGCCAGACGTGAAAAACGACGTGCAAGAAATCGAGAAGCAGCACGAAAATTGAAAGAGAAACGAAAATGCATTGAAGACGAGCTTCTTTTAAAACATGAAGAACTTCAAAGTGAGCATGTAAATTTACAAAATTATATTAAACAGCTACAACAAAAAAAGCAAAATTTACAACAGGAAATTGATAATTCTTTTATGGATTCTCTTCAAGAATTGCTATCAAATGATAATGAAGATTTGAATTTATTTTTTGAACAATATTTACATGATCTGACTCTTTTTAAAGAGCCAATAGAAAACATTTTAAATTGGAATTTAAATATCGATGCCGATTCTATGATAGACAATTGATATTTCTTTTATTTTCTTCTTCTGAATAATGTTGTATGAAATAAAAATCTTGTAACTATTTAAAAACAAATAAAAATGATTTGAATTTTAAATGTTTTACATTTACACATAAATATTAAATTAAAATCTCATGCGAGACAATACTACTTGTTTAACAAAAAAGACCTTGGCAACGATATGCATTTTTATCAATCAAAGAGTGTCTTTTTCCTTCATTTTTATTATTTAATCAGATCAAGATTAAGTTCAATTGAAGTTGATTAACGCATTATATTAACCATCGCATTCTGTTTCATCGTAGTACTGACATAAATCCAGACAGTACATGACAAGTTCCGTTATTCATGACATGATTTATGTGACATGTATTGAAAGAAGAAAATCAAGAAAAATTTCACGTAAAAAACACAATATTTTTTATTGAAGTTTTGTTATATTTTCGGAAGATTGAACACAGAAAGAAATATAATCAAGTAGATTTTCAGATTATATAACAATCTAGTCATGCTATCGTTTTCTTATATGAATATATAATGTTTCATAAGATTTTATACCTATTTTTTAAAAATAAAATTTCTGCTCGCAAGAAATTAAATAATTCAGAAAAAAAATGATGTTATATGATTGTTTTGTTGAGTATTTATAAAAAAAACCAATCAGCTCTCATCTTCGGTAATGATAGAGAGTGTGTATGTCAACTTGTTCATAAATGCATATCATCTTTAATGTCAAATATCTTTCATAGATTTTTATTGAGCTGAAATTATAATTTTTATTATGGATTTGAGCTACACAATGTTCTAATAACTATCGATATAGTTATTCGTATTATATTCACTTACATTCATTTGAACAAGTAACTGTCGTTTTATACTGTATACAAAAGATTAACTACAGTAATTATTTCATTCTGGATGATTATCATCAACTATTCATATACGAAAGCATCGATTTCCTCTTGATTAATATGAAATGTTGAACACAGTAAACGTCAGATGATTATATGTACTGCGGTGCGTGTTGCATTCGAAGCTCGAA